TCCCAGAAGCACCTGGAAGTCTTTCCAGAAGCCTCTGGGAGACTTCCCAGAAGCCTCTGGGAGACTTCCCAGAAGCCTCTGGGAGACTTCGCAGAAGCCTCTGGGAGACTTCGCAGAAGCCTCTGGGAGACTTCCCAGAAGCCTTTTGGGAGCCTTCCCAGAAGCCTTTTGGGAGTCTTCCCAGAAGCCTCTGGGAGACTTCCCAGAAGCACCTGGAAGTCTTTCCAGAAGCCTCTGGGAGACTTCCCAGAAGCCTCTGGGAGACTTCCCAGAAGCCTCTGGGAGACTTCCCAGAAGCCTCTGGGAGACTTCCCAGAAGCCTCTGGGAGACTTCCCAGAAGCCTCTGGGAGACTTCCCAGAAGCCTCTGGGAGACTTCCCAGAAGCCTCTGGGAGACTTCCCAGAAGCCTCTGGGAGACTTCCAAGAAGCCTCTGGGAGACTTCCCAGAAGCCTCTGGGAGACTTCCCAGAAGCCTCTGGGAGACTTCCCAGAAGCCTCTGGGAGACTTCCCAGAAGCCTCTGGGAGACTTCCCAGAAGCCTCTGGGAGACTTCCCAGAAGCCTCTGGGAGACTTCCCAGAAGCCTCTGGGAGACTTCCCAGAAGCCTCTGGGAGACTTCCCAGAAGCCTCTGGGAGACTTCCCAGAAGCCTCTGGGAGACTTCCCAGAAGCCTCTGGGAGACTTCCCAGAAGCCTCTGGGAGACTTCCCAGAAGCCTCTGGGAGACTTCCCAGAAGCCTCTGGGAGACTTCCCAGAAGCCTCTGGGAGACTTCCCAGAAGCCTCTGGGAGACTTCCCAGAAGCCTCTGGGAGACTTCCCAGAAGCCTCTGGGAGACTTCCCAGAAGCCTCTGGGAGACTTCCCAGAAGCCTCTGGGAGACTTCCCAGAAGCCTCTGGGAGACTTCCCAGAAGCCTCTGGGAGACTTCCCAGAAGCCTCTGGGAGACTTCCCAGAAGCCTCTGTGAGACTTCCCAGAAGCCTCTGTGAGACTTCCCAGAAGCCTCTGGGAGACTTCCCAGAAGCCTCTGGCAGACTTCCCAGAAGCCTCTGGCAGACTTCCCAGAAGCCTCTGGCAGACTTCCCAGAAGCCTCTGGGAGACTTCCCAGAAGCCTCTGGGAGACTTCCCAGAAGCCTCTGGGAGACTTCCCAGAAGCCTCTGGGAGACTTCCCAGAAGCCTCTGGGAGACTTCCCAGAAGCCTCTGGGAGACTTCCCAGAAGCCTCTGGGAGACTTCCCAGAAGCCTCTGGGAGACTTCCCAGAAGCCTTTGGGAGACTTCCGAAAACCCTCTGGGAGACTTCTCAGAACCTTCTGGGAGATAACGCAGAAGTCTCTGGGAGACATCTTAGAAGCCTTTGGCAGACTTACCAGAAGCCTCTCGGATACTTTGCAGAAGCTCTTTGGGAGATCTGCAAATTCCACTCGAACTCGATGCACATCTTTTCGTTAGTCCTCCAGGTTTTCGGGAAATGCTGAAAGACTCCTCAAAAATCTCTGGTAGTACACTTGAAAATCTCTGCAACACTTCCTAGTAGTGCCTGGGAGACTTTCAAATTGGAGACAAAAATACTTTTGGGCCTTCCCAGAAGTATATGAGGCACTTCCCATAAGAGCAGTTCCACGCCAAATTACAAACCGGAAAAACTCGACCCTCTCCGATGTGCATGAAAATTGTTTGATATTGGCAATGATTCAATTTTTTTTTTAATACGACCATTTTGGATGATGTAAGTTTGTCAAAACATGTCAAACATCTAAGTTCTCGAAATTTCCTTGTCCGATATATGAAAAAGAATGAAAGAAGATCTAATGAAGAATGATAAATTAAAAAAAAAATGTTTAAAATTATGAACACTTAACAATTGACAAAAATGCTAAAACAAGAACTTTAGGTAACATTTGTGGACTCGTTGTAAAAACGTTTTATCAAGTGATTTGTGCTCTAAAAACAATATCTCAGATATTTTAAATCATTTTGAAAAAAATCAAGGGGTTGGGCACCCCACACAGTGTGCCAAAACAATGTTTGATACATTCTGGTCACAGTGCACAGGGTGCACTGTTTGGCACCCATGGTTACAATTTTACTAATCTTTAAAGCTACTGGCAACACTGAACCTTTCCTGCGCCTGCGCAGTGTGCATGTGTCAAAAAATTGTTATTGATGTTGCAACAACACAATCAAATTTTTACAAACCACAACCGTGAATTTCTACCAAATCGAGCCATGGATTCTCTTAAATCAAATTGGACTCCTTAAAACACGGTCAGTGCACATCCTAATGCCTGTCCGAAGAAGTGAGTTCATGAAAACATCAAGGCAATCGCTTGCATAGCAACACCCCTCAATCAATCCCAACGTTACCGGAAAAAAAAGCTCACCCAAGATAGTTTATCCAGGGCTGGCAAATGTCTTGACAGAACGTGACCTTGTTGGGAACATCCCAATTAATAGCTTCTTTAATGATAGTTCTTGTTCCGCGGATATCTTAAAAATATATTCACTTTACTGATAACATACTGTTGCTTGTCTAAATTAATTTAAATGAGTAAGAAATTTTGATGTCAAAACCGTGTGAGAGTTATTCTCATGAGTGCTTGATCATTAGAAAATGACAAGAATGCTCATGATAGGTAGTTTCGTCTAGTGATAATGAGAATACCTGTTTTCTCTTTGTCTCATGATGGCCGTGATATTTACCAGCTCTGAGTTTATCACCCTAACCCTCGTCAAAGCTCTCATCCTTTCAGAAATCATGATATCCTCCAGCTCCGTTATTAAAATCGTTACACAGACTACCGTGGCGGGAGTCCCGTCCACATTTCCTCCTTTCTGGGCTCTATCCGTTCATTAGCAGAAACAGAAGACAAAGAACAGCTGATAGCGGAGTTAGTTTTAGTCAGAAAGTCAATTGCCAACCAAAGACTATATACCAACCGACCTCACCGCTGGCTGGAATTGCTCGAAGACATACCATTAACGGCGGCGGCTGCTGCTACACCAACCATTCCATGATCCAGCATAAAATGTTTCAGGATCGTCGTGGCAAAATCCACCCGCAAGGCCCGTATCTCGGAGCGGAAATGTTGTACCTACTCCCGCATCATCTCAGGTTTCGAAAAACAAAACAAAAACAAGAGTTGTCAAAATATCGGGATGCCAATCAAGACATTTTTCACAAGTAAACAAAAGTCAGTTCAATTACTTCTTGTCACTGACGGCACAGCTGCGGCACACTGATTTTCCACAAGCGCTTGTAAGCTTTTCAACGCCTACTTCTTCACTTAAAAAAAAAAAACAAAATCGGTCAAGGACATTTCGAGATACTTGGGGTTTGCATTGTGTTTTTTTTTAAATATTTCTATCAAAAATATAAATTTCTCTGTAAGACATTATTTTTTGCTACAGATTTGTCTCAGATAATAAATACCGTTTCCGCGCTACATTTTTTTTTTAATTTCAAGGACGTCATTTTGAAAATTCTACAAGATTACATTGTCCATAACAATCAATTACGCGCAGTTTCATACAAATCGGAGAAGGCCTATTCAAAAATTCCTTTATTTATATTCAGCCTGGAAGTGCTCATAAGCCTCAGGGAGACTTCCCAGAAGTGCCTTCCTTTGAACAAATGATTTCAAAGAGCGCAAGTACAAAGCGGAAGACACCGCACCAGCAGTGTAATCATCTTATCATATCGAGGCGTTCTAGCTTATTCTATACACATGGTTACCAAGAAGAGAACATTTAGACCACTCTTTGAGCATACCAAAAGTTGTCTAGTTATCCTCTTCCTATCCAACCACCTGCAAACAATAATCTCGAACCGCACTCGGGCACTTGTGACAACCCGTGATCTCCGATATGATAGTACGATGATTGCTCCGGTTTCCTCCCCTTTGTACTTGTGCTCTTTGCATTAATTCGCACTTACATCCATAAAATTATCATCGCGGAAAGCGAAAGCAAGGTCACGCAAGGTGGTGGTGGCAATCGACTTCTCATTGTGCCTCCTCCTCCTCCTGCTCGTCCGCCTACTACTCTCATCGTCCTCCGGCGCCCTTTTTGCGAAACGCCCGCCAACCTACTCCCCAGATGGGCGGATTCCATCATCCATTCAACGACGACGACGACGACAATGATGGAAATACTGGATCAAGAACGCGGTTTCTCTAGCTGTCGCTACAATTACACGCTTCAACACGCTGCTTCGTACCTTCATACGATCGTGTCGTTAAGAAAAAAAAGCTAGTAATAATAATGACAACCCCGCCGCCAAAAACAAATACCTACCACCTGTCAAACGAGCAAACTGCCTCCCCCTTGGGGCTTGCCGCCCCTTCTGCGGAGCACTGATCGCGTCAAGTCAGGTTCATGGCTTGCTTCACCCCAAGATCTTTTTCGCTTTAGGCTTTTTCGCTGTCTCAACCGAGGAAAAGGCTAAAATCGGCAATTAAAGCGTATATGCCGAGTGTAACTTTTAGGAATGTCCCGCTCTCTCTCTGTCTCTACCCGCCCTTTGCCGGACGGATCGCGGAAAATAATTGAAAGAATCGATACCAGAAACCAGAATATTTGTATTTTTTTTCGGGCAAGTGCGCGGCGGTTGAGCGAATCGGCGCCGATCAGCTGAGAGAGCAGCGTTCTTTCTTTGTGCTTTTTTTTTTTGCGGGTGTCGTTGCGGCTGATGGGCGCGGAAGGGGCGACTTGCTCGCCCGCCGCCTCCTTGGATTGTTTCTGTTTTTGCTTTTCAAATAAGTATGTATATTAAATTGGAGAAGGCGCTGGGGCGCGCGTGCCAACTCGTGATAGGTAGATAGTCGGAAAGAGATGCAACGATCGTCGCCATTCGGATGTGTACGTGTATGGGTGTTACAGTTTTCCGTCCGAGTGGTCGGTTGGGCGGTTGGGCGATTGGGCGGTCGACGTTGTAGGTTCTTTTGCTGGTAGGAAAGATAGATGCGGCTTGGTATAAAACCATGTCCCTGGGCATTGTTTCGGCACAGTTTGCAAACAGTCCTAGGTACGAACGCCAAGGAGGTTTCAAAGCACTCAATAGTGAGAAAAGCAAAAAGTGTTCTTTCGACCACCAAGAAAACATCAACAGCAAATTCTAGCAAAAATGAAACTTTTCGTAAGTAGTTTTAGGAAAAGTTCTGTGATACAACTAGTCAAGTGATTTTGGGCATCGGTATCGAACGGGAAGTGACGGCGTGAATATCTGGAGGAACCGTTGGATTATTTTGTGAATGAGCGATCTGGTTAGATCGAAGGAAGCCGGATTCAGTGTGAAGTAGAGTGGAATGATAAACATTGTCGTTTTACACCGCAACGGCTTACTGTGATTGATTGGTTTATTCATGAGTTTGAAGAGCAGTGAAGTGGTTGCATTTCAAATTAATTTCAGTGTTTTAGAATGGCAAATAACGCAAGTGAGCGACGAATAAGCCATTCGTTGATAAGTTTATTGGCGGTGAAATTTACTTATATATGTGACTAATTTGCTGCCTTAGATGAGAGCTCTTCAATGCACAACAAATACATTCATTTGATGTTGCATTTTGATGTCGTTATCAGCATCGACAGTCAATTTGATCTAGCTTGATTGGAAAATCTTGTATTTGACTCACCACTTTCGCTTTAGATACAATGTCTTTCAACTGAATGTCCGGTAATTGAGAGCAATTTCAATTAAATGACGCTTATCTGTCGAAATGTGTAATACCAGAAGTCAAGTGTACAAATCGATTCATTTGCATTCAACAACTTGCATTTCAGTTCGCGAATGACGGACGGCATTCGGTAACTGAAAAAAAACTTTGCTTTGAAGGCCAAATTTAAAGTTACTTGAGTAAATTAAATTAAATTGATTTTTCAACATAATTACTTATTAATGAGTAGATCTCCTTATATTGAAAATGGATTAAATTTTTCCCATAAATGGGTATTTGATTCTTACCGTGAAGGGACCAATGGAGGTCTGAGAATTTTGTGTTGTGATCATTTGTTGACTCTAAAGCTGGGATTAGACTAGGCAAGTCAGTTGAATTCAATTGGCTTGAAAAGTTGAGCCTGGTTCAACTTTTTTCAATTCAAGTGAGTTGATCAAGTCAGTTGAATGGCATCGTTTACACGTTCAATTCGTGTTGATCAATTGACTTGCCCTGTCTAAACCCAGCTTAAGATGCAGGAAACATTTCGCTTTGCGTTATGAGATGCACCCAAGCTTAGTAGATCGAAAGTTAGTTAGTTATCATTATTAAGGAGACTTTCATTCGAACGCTGATTCGTCTCAGGGTAGATCGAAAGAAGATTGATTGATGAAGATTGTGAAATTTTCCCTTTAAAAAGTTGGAGAGCGATGTGAGTAAATGGATTTAGATGCAATAGTTGAAACAAGATTTTCGTAGATTGATTCGCTAACGTGAGATTTTCCGACAATCTAAAATTGAGATTTAGATGAGTCGTGATGTGACATCGGTTATAAGGGCCATCAATCACTATCGCTGGCCCACGAAATATGGGATCAACTGAAAGCTCATAATTTGTGAACGCATGAAGGATTTAAGTAAAATATCCGAAACAGGACGTTAAACCTGGATATTTGAAATATGTTTGCCAACCATTGGTTTATTATAAACGCAGATCTATAGCTTTAATTTACAAAAACTTGTCTTGATTACGGCGTTTTAAAATGTGGTTTTAATAGCATGACATTGTAACAGCTACATCAGCTCAGTATTTTGTTAAGCCGGTGTACACTTTAGGACATATTTTTGCTGAATAGATGCTGAATTAGCTGGTTTTTAGATGGATAAGGCAATTTTCGGTTGTATACACCTTTTCACGCTTGAGCGCCATAAAATTTGAAGCACCCCTTTCTGACATATGGCAATTATCCACTTAATTCGAGCAGTTAAAATGACGTATTGTATGATGTATTATTAAAAAAACAGTGCAAAAAGTTTGCGTCATTTTGTGTATAATATCAAAAGGAATCGAATAGTGCGAGCTTTTTGCAATCTGAAATAATCCGTTGGAAAAAACAGCTTTTGAAAATTTCCAAAAAGAATCAAAGTAAATTGAACCTTAAGCTTCATTCTCATTTGAATGTGTGCATAGTAGGCAATAGAATAGGAACTCGATGCCATCCAACCTAAACCGTGTTCCAGAAAATTCGATCTGCTCAAAAGAAACGTGTGCAGAAACGAATGTCTAACCTAATTCTCGATAACTTTTTCAAAGGGAAGTATCAGCTTTTGTAAACAATGCATTTGATCGTCGATTTGGCATAACTGGTAGCTCGCCCACGCATGCTAACACTACCTACATGCTAGTGGTGTAAGTAAGCGTGTCCGAGCTACCAGTTACGTCAAATCATCGATCAAATTCATTGTTTACAAATGCTGATACGTCCCTTTGAAAAAGTAATCGAGAATTGATGGTGGACGAAGTTATCTCCAGCTGCCTGTTAAATGCTCCCTGACAAAATCAAAACCAGAAGCCGAAAGGACGAAAGTTCCATCCTACCCTAGAAACAACATCCTCAAAGCAGTTCATCTGCTCGACTCAGAATTACGTAGCCATCACGAAAACCTATCGTTTCGCAATGACTTCCGCAATGTACTATTGATGAAAACCAATGGCCAATATATCACCGATGAAAACCAGCAAATATCCACTTTGGGAACGGTTTGTGATCCAGCTATGCTTCGCATCTGCAGTTCTACCATTGAGGTAACTCTAAGACCAGAAGGTCCTGAAGAAACGTGCTCAACTTTTTGGCTCAGCTCTGGTACTATCTTCGGTCCCAAGCTAATCGATTCACCCCTCGAAACATAGGAAAATCCACTAACCCCTCATTTTATCTGTCAAACTTTCATAGCGAATCAAAACAAATATAGTGTAGTACTAGAAATTCTACTGGACGTGGACTGGGGTACGTTAACCGATTTGCTTGAGACCAATAGACTAGTCAAGTAGTGAACCAATTCAAAATCGTTAGTTTCCACTGGTTGGTTCTACTGCAGGCAGGGCCCTGTAGTTGTTGTTGCTCATCTGTACGCCCATGGGTTCTTGTCGAACAGCAAGTTGTTTAATGTCACTTCTACCAACAATCAATACGAAACCAACGATTTTAAATTGGCTCACTATTAGACTAGCCTATAGGTCCCAAGCAAATTGACTAACGTATCCCATTCTAGTATAAATTCCAGTACTACACTATGTTTGTTTTGATTCGCTATGAAAGTTTGACCGATAAAATGAGGGGTTAGTGGATTTTCCTATGTTTCGAGGGGTGAATCATAAGCTTGGGACCGAAGATAGTACCAGAGCTGAGCCAAAAAGTTGAGCTTGTTTCTTCGGGACCTTCTGGTCTTAGAGTTACCTCTATGCTTCTACCGCGAATCAAATTTTAGAGAGTGAGCAAGGCCTTACTGACCTGCCAAGAACTGATAGATAAGCCACCCATCGCATCGGGGCTTCTTGAGACAAACTAGTTCAACATAAGGATGATGAAAGAGATGCATCTGCAATATACTCTTGCACTAAGACAACTCAGTGCCAACATTTCAAATGGGCGTAATTGCATTTGTAAACAATGGTTTTAGTCGTCGACTTCTCGTGGTTAAAAGCGCACTCATAACAATAAATGACACCTGCAGGTAGAGAAATGTTTCCTGTACAAGCTAGCATTGGTAATTTGGAAGGGTGGGCTTTTATTTGCGAGAAATCGACAGCTAAAGCCATTGTTTACAAAAGCAATTACGCCCCTTTGACATTCTCCAGCAAAACTGGGGCTTGTATGGACATCCCTATAAAGTCTTGTGGATTTCCCATCGATGTACCCAATTCAAACCAATGACCAAGAATATCTGAGGAAAAACACAGGGGAAAACGATAAAATTCCCATCGCGGAAGACCCTTGGCAAGGCTGGGATTTGAACCTAAACGTTATCTGGATAAAAGCTTGTTGAGGCAAAAATTTGCTTAATCAGCTCAAATTGTTTGTTCGGACTGGTGCTGTTGTGTAACGGGTGGTGGTGGTGGCTCACTTCCTTCATATCGATCAGGGGCCACATTACGCATCTCGAAACGAAAGACTTTTTGTACGAACGCTTGTATGAAAATGTTTTTCATTTCAAGATGCACAATGTGGCCCCAGCTTCGTGTTGAGTCTCAACTCTCGAGCGTTGTAATCTTCGAATAAATTCTCCAAATCATCCTTCTGCGACTTGGGATTTTCCTTTTGCAGTTCGAGCTTCTTCTGGTAGCCCTGATATTCCTGGCTCAGCTTGGCCTGGTCCTGATCCTGGAGGACTTTCTCCTTAAGGCCCAAGCGCAATGTGGGCGGAAGCGGAACGGAAACGGAAAGTTTGACAGTTGTCACAAATGGCATCAAGATGCCTAGCCGAAGTCGATTTGATTCTAACTAGTTTTCACTCCGACAAGTAGGCTTACTCAGATCGGGCTTTTCCGCTGCCGCTGCCGTTCCGCTTCCGCTGTCATTACGCTTGGGCCTTTAGTCTGTCCGGGGACATACACCGACGTGGTTGGAATGTTGGATGGTTCATTTTTCACCTGTCACTTTTGAAAACAATGCAAAAAAGTCATAGCCTTCTACAGCCATAAAAATGCGTCTAATGTCAAAGATGAATCACCCCTCGGCCAAATTATGGCGAGCGTAAAAAGCTGGATTCATCTATCATTAGGTCGGTTCCTGTACTTGCATTTCTGTAAGATTCTGTACAGCAAAAAGCAAAAGCATGTTCTCGTACTTGCTGCATCATATTATTTTCTTACAGCAACTTACAGAAAGCTTCAGCAACCTACAGCAAAAACAAAACAGCAAGTACGGGAACAGACCTATTATTGGAAAGTTATGAGTTTGGATGATAGTGAAATACTAATAAGTGCAAAGGTGATTATTTTACATTTACTTCCACTTAGTATTTTGTATCTACGATATGTATTTAAACTTCAATGTGCAGTCGTCATCGGTGCGATTTCCACTGAAAATAAAATGGCACTGATGAAGGCTACCCAGATAATGGCGAATACACTCAATCTAGCTAGGCAAGCTGAGATCCCGGCAAATGTTTTGACTCTCAGCTGACAATTCAGTAATATATTTGACAGCTTGCTAAATCTCGGAAGCTTTGATTGCTGAATCCCAGCCAATTCCATTGAATGCCGAGATTCTAGGCGATGTAAAATCTTCATTAAAATCAAATTCTTTTCACTCCTACTATTTTTACCGAAGACATCATCTCAAGAAGACTGGTAACTTCTCCAGAATACAAGGAACAGCAGCACAGCAGCGAAGGTAGAAGCAATGCATAGCAAAATGATCAAATTCACAAACCTCCGGTCACAGTGTTTAGACTGTCAAATATAAACAACCGTTGCTGTGAAGTCTAGATGAACATTTCGAAAGGTCCTACCCGCTTTGATCGAATCTCTTCATTGACTGTCTCTTTCGGTCATGTTGCAAAAAATTAATACATGGTGCAGGTCCAGGCAAATTGCAAAAAACCAATTGAAATGCTGCACCCGTGGGAGTTGCATCGCTGATTCGTGAAGCCGTGACCGAGACTGGAAACCTCGGTCCGGTCACGACACCGCTGTCAGCTGTTCTTTGTCTTCTGTTCATCTAATGAGCGGATAGAGCCCAGATAGGAGGAAATGTGGACGGGACTGCCGTCACGGGAGTCTGTGTAACGATTTTGATAACGGAGCATGAGGATATCATGAATCCAATAATTCTTTATTTTAGGGAATTTTAGCCGTGGGCTAAGTCATCTCTTCTCTTTGTCGGTTCGTTTGGTTCTTCTTGCTTCACTCTATGCGTGTCTCTATTCAACGTCTCTGCGGTTCGTTTTTAATTTGAACACTTTTTTAATTTTAACCCCACTAATCTGCACGTAGGGAAAACTATACTGGGTTTATACAGGGCAAGTCAATTGATCAAGTCAGATGAATTCAATTGGCTTGAAAAGTTGAGCCTAGTTCAACTTTTTTTTCAATTCAAGTGAGTTGATCAAGTCAGTTGAATTGCATGGTTTACACGTTCAATTCGCGTTCAAGTCAGTTGAATTCAACTGACTTGCCCTGTCTAAACCCAGTTTAACTGGTTCAAATGCCATTTTGACTCATGCAAATGGATCATTGCAAAACGGAACGCAGAATGATAACAAAACAACAAACAGGGCTACCAAAAACATGCTTATTTAATGCTCATAGGGTTACTAAGTTTAAATTAAAAATGAACCCCGTTAATGTGAATGAAGTGCCGTTCAGATAAGCTGGGATCCACGGTATTCTGAGACCCTTCGGTCCAAACTGACGTTCCACCCACATTGCGTCTGGGCTCTAATACGCTGGGTGATGCGCAGGCGGACATCAAAATCGAACCATTTTCGAGCTGTCAAATCGAGTCAATTTCGTACTCTCGTGGTAGTCAATCAATGCGTCCTCGAATCTTCCAATTTCTGAACGGATGTTGTATTAATGTAAGCCATGCATCAAACGTTGATTCATTATTCCCTTCATTTTGCTTACAAAGATTCAAACGTCAATTTGTCGATACTCTTAGAACTCTCACTCAAACTTACACCACTAACAGCAAGAGTATTATTTCCCCAACAAGATGGCGTTGTTAATTTGCGTTAATTTGACAAAGTGACGTTTGAATTTGTGTGTACAATAGCAAATACGTCCCTTTGCAAAAGTAATCAAAAAATTACGAATGTAAACAAACGATCGAAGAGTCATTATTAGAGATTATTAGGCTTTGCGCAAAATGCTGTTTGTCAGCACTTGCTACAATAGATCTACTGTGGACCCCCGGTAATCTAACCATTTTTAGCTTAGAACACTTTTTTAGCTTGAACCCCGCTAATCTGCACGCCGTTCAAACTTAAAATTGCTCAAATGTCATTTAGCACATGGAATGGAGTAAAGTGAAACGGAACGCAGATTCAAAACAAAACAGCAAATAAAGCTGCCAGAAATTCGCTTTTATGATGATAAGAGGATTATTAGAAGTACGAATAAAAAATGATCCCCGTCAATATGCACGAAGTGTCGTTCGGTTTCCAAGGGGGTACACGGTAATTATTGCCAGTTGCATGATAAATCCAAAATTGGCGACTACTTGACCATAATACCGAATTTCAGCGCAGCAAATTTTACGACTGCTTTAAATTGCAGATTCACTAGCACTTTTTTAAAAACTTTTCAATTTGACAGTTCTAGATAGAGCTGGAATAAGGGCCTAATAGCCTTGGTAAACAATGACTTCTCTTGATGATTTCTAGAAATTCAAGGCTCGCCCACGCAAACCAACATTCTCATCGGGTAGGGAAAGACTTCCCCTATCGGATGGTTAGGTTGGTCTGCGTGGACGTGCCTTGAATTCCTAGAAATCATCGATAGAAGTCATTGCTTACAAAAGCTGTTACGCCCTAATTCCAGCTCTATCTAGAGTTAACATTCTGTTATAATTGATTGAATCCAGTGGTGAAAAGTAGAAATACTCAGAGGGAAAGAATGTTTTGAGCCAAATGAACTGTCAAAATCTGAGCCAGTAGACCATAGGTTTAGCTGTCACTTTGCCGCAACGCGTCAGATCCAGATCTAATGTGGGTGGCTCTTAAGGTGAATCGCTGTGACATCCTTATGCTCAGAACCACTTCGAAACTTTAAGTGCACAAATATCAGCTTCTACGACACGAACAACGTAAGTGGAGGTACAAGTTTTTTTTGGCAACCATGAAAAACTGGCATCCGTGAAAAATATTCATGCCGTCATAGGGCTCTGCGTTGTGCAGTTATAGTTTTATTTTGTTTCGTCCGCTAAAGTTCAAAACGAAGTGCAAAGCAAATCTTTGCAACAATGAATCGAGCAGTGGTTTGCGTTATATTTCCTCTAAGATTGGGTCCATCGCTAAAAATCTTCTGTTAATCAATGTTATCTAGATGAACGCATTGGAACAGTACTAATGGATATTTTTGGACGCGATTGAAAATTTAGTCGATTGCTGAATTTATGTATGGGCCCAAATTAGGAGCATTTAGGCCGACTTTACGTATATGTATTATTTCAATTTTCCCACGGCTGCTATGATGACAAAAAATTCACAAAGCTCACTTCCAGTTCAACCGCATCAGTCACAACATTTTCCGAACACATCAATCTCTAACAAACCTTTCTCCACCCTCCCCTCCCCAGATCGTAGGATCCGTTCTGCTGCTGGCTTCGGTCGCTTCTGCCTCCTACTGGCACTACGTCCCGGCCGACACCCCCGAGGTTGCCGCCGCCAAGGCCGAACACTTTGCCGCTCACCAGAAGGCCCGCGGTCTGGTCGGTGCCGGCCCAATTGACACCCCCGAAGTTCAGCACGCCAAGGCCCAGCACTTTGCCGCCCACGCTGCCGCCCGCGCCGGACACTCCGCCCCAGTTGCAGTCCCAGCTTGGCACGCTGCCCCAGCTGCCGCCCACGCTTGGCACGGAGCCGGTGCCTGGCGCGGACCCCAGCACATTCCAGTCATCCACAATGGAGTCCCAGTCGAAACCCCAGAGGTGCAGCACGCCAAGGCCTTCCACCTGAACGCCCTGGCCAGCGCCGGTGCCGGAGCTCACTGGGCCCCATCCCACTACGAGGATGATGGCTCTTACAAGCCCGAATACGACAACTACCACTAAATTCCCGCAATTGCCAAACTCCCCTTCACATTAGCTAGGCCTTAGGATCTTATTAACAAATCAAAAAAGTCAAATACTCAAGAAGTCACTGCCCCTCAAGAAGTCCTTGCGAGAATCTTTTGTAAATTCAATCTATTTCAAACGCCAGAGCTTCGGAAGTCACGTCGAGCGTGCAGCAAGTTAGATATTAGTTTTTGTAGTCATCCAAACCAGCAAAAAGGATCGACTCGAGTCAGAATCAGCAAGCCCCCCTATTGAGTGCGTATCTGTCCAGTAGGCGAAGAGTTTTCCCGCACCCGAGTCATCAGAGCACACAATCCGGGGCTCCACTTCCTCATCTCCTGATCTGGTGGATGCCCAAACGCTCAACTGAACATCGATTTCCAAAAGATTGCGTGCTGGTGCGGGATTAGCTTCGACACGAATAAACAACAAAAAACAGAAATCCAATTGAAATCCAACGCGAATAAGAACTGCAGAAAATGAGGAACACCAAACGGAAACTCTCACTCGAATTTGTAATTTTTTACCTTGTATTATAGCGAGATATGTTTACATACATGCAAATCAATTTTAAAAGTTGAAAAAAAATATGGTTGAATCGTGCTTATTTGCTCGAAAATTCGGGTGCGAATGAAAGAAATCCATGGCGCAGTTTGACAGATCGTTTTGCATTTTTGAAGGACATTATTCCTGGGGTCATTCTCTCTTTAAACTTTTTTCATCGAATGGCATTTTCTCGAGCACACAACTGACAATTTTCTTAAGGCCATAGTCCGGACATTTTAAGCCATTTGTCTGTGATTTGGGTGATTTTTCAGGAAACGTCCCGAAAATCCGGTGAAGGACTTGGGCATTCAACTTCAAATGGTGTGATTTTTTCCAGTAAGTGGCATTTCCTCCCATAGAGAATATTCATCTGGGGTGTTTGATAATAAAGGGTGGAACGGTAAAAAATTGGTCAAATATAATTAAGTGCACACTGATAATATTAATATATAAATGATCAAACTTTATTTCTGTTTGAAGTTCAGGAATATTATTGTATTAGGCTTCCGACGTTCCAAATGCCAACTGCCGGGCTTTACGTTTCACAGCATCCATCAAATGTTGTACCGCTGTTGTATCAACCTTATTTAATGGTGAACGTCAATTTGCTTTGAACTGTTTCTCATTTACAACTATTTTCTGAGTTTTCTTGAGGTTCCGCTTAATGATTGCCCAATATTTTTCAATTGGGTGCAGCTCCGACGAGTTTGGAGGGTTTTTGTCCTTGGATACAACTTACACGTTGTTGGCGGCTATATTTCTTCAAAAGGCAACGGGCGTTTTTTGAAACATTCCTTTACATAAATATCTTGGTTAACAGTGCCAGTTGTCACGAAAATTCCGCTTTTCTACCCACATGAGCAAATCGCCTGCCAAACCAAGCATTTTTCGGGAACTTTGACAACTTTTTCTGCTTAAACTTATATTGAACCTGTCCTTTTCTGGTAGCCGTGTAAAACTCTTGACCTGGGAGCTGCTTGAAATTCCATCGTCCATTATGACGCAATCAAACTTGGTCAACAATGTCGTGTAAAACGTAGGTGCTCTTGCTTTGGCCGTGGTGTTTTGCTTATCATCTCGATTGGGTGTCACTGTAACCTTGTATCACAGACAAACCATTTGTCATGGTGGCGCCACTGAAGCGTTAAGGAAGCCTCTACATGTCGAACTTATCAGTGATGCCAATTCTTTTTCAATTCAATTTAGTATATGTCAGTTCTTGAAAATGATAAGAGGACCAAGGCATCCCAATGGAGACATTAAACCAGTAACCAGTTAACAACTTGTTTTTCTATCAGGTTACGGGCCCTCCGTGTTACCATAGCTACCGCGAATAAATACGTTCGGCGAAGAAAATTTCACACGCGGCGAGTAAGTTTTTTCGGTGGCGTGGCATGACCAGGGTTCTGCATTTTCGAAACAAAGAAAAGAAAATGAACTCTCCACAGAATCGCTTCATTTCGAGCAATATAATTTTCATGTAAGTCAGTGTGTTTCTTGATATCGAGTCACGATGAACATTCCTCCTGTTAAATATGACTTAACTATTGCTTGTTTCGTTCATCAAGTGCATCAGTTCACTTCATTTGAAGTAAAGACTTGTTTCAATTCACGCAATGAATGACTCGAAAATTGCTTCCTTCGTTTTTTTCAGTTTCACTTCAATTCGGGGTTCATTCGACTTGTCACGCGTCGCGTCGTCTGGCATCAAAATATAGAAGCCGGATAGTACCCGCACAGTATCGGTTGCCAATAGGGATGGCATCCAGATGATATGCATTAATTAAATATGCTTTCATACTAAACCACAGACAAACAGATATAACTCTTTGAATATATATTTTTTTTAGGCTTTATTAAAGAGATTTTTAGCCTTAGGCTAGTTCATCTCTAACTCTTTAAATAAGTTTTTCTTGAAAACATTGTTCTTCAATAAAAAAGACATCTCTCGAGCTTCTCGCGGAGAACAAGCTAGCTCGTTAGCTCGCAAACAATGCTGCATGCAAGCTTAACAGAATATATAGAAATGTCCTAGTGATCCGATGCCAGCGCTGTGGTGAGCAGTTCGCGGAATTGATAATATTAGAATCAGTCGTTAAATGCGTGAACGTTGATCCAGAATGAAATGTTACGTTTGTTTGTCTGTGATTAAATAAAAACTAAATTTACAAAGCCATTCTGGAGTCGAAGATGGCAGCCATCGGGTTTCAGAAAAATTGTTAAATACCCTAAGATATGGGTAAAATCGATACTCGATGCCATTTTGGAATCCAAGATAGTGACCAACTCCACAGCCTAATGTTTTCGAGTTAAATAGGTTCCATAGATGGAATTACAGAAAAAATGAAGATAAGTGTTTTAATTTTAAATATATCGTTTAAATGTATATAACTCGAAAACAGTAGGCTGTGGAGTTTTGACGTCTTGAAAATAGTTGTTAATTTTATCAAGATAAACAACTTTGCTGAAGAAATCAAGTCAAAACGCCATTTCAATGCATTATAAAAAGTTACAGAAATAATACATGCTCCACTAAAATGTTTCAAGATGGCATCGGTCATCGATCTCTGGCCAACTTATGGAAAGGGGAATACATTTAGAAGTCATCTTTGATAGAAAAATTTCATTTATTGATAAAACCCGTTCAAGAAAGAGAGGTAAAGTGTGGGTTGTGCTTAGTAAGACGGAAATTAGATCAAAAACCCTACTGGATAGCGGCGCATCGGAGAACATGGTAAGCGACAAGACGTATTTGCAAAATTTACGTACACTGGATTCGCCTATCGTGATCAACGTCGCCAAGTCTGGAGTATCGTTTAACAGTCGTGTTGCTGGCGAAATAAAGATGCTAAGGTCACATCGGAAACACTGGATTAGTGAAGCTCATTCGAAGCGATATGGTCGAATGTATCGAGATTGGTGGAAGTTTGAAGCCGGACACAGGTATTTGTCAATCATGTATGATGGGGTTCATCCCGTCCGTTGGAGTTGATTCACACCGACGTCGGCGGTCCACTCACACCAGCGTCCGGGGATGGCCAGAAGATATTCGTCAGTTTCATCGACGACTTCACCCACTTCACGGCGGTTTACATCTTGAAATCTAAAACTGGTGTTCTGGATGCTTTCCGAAAGTATGCTGCGATGACTACGGTGCACTTTGGAAGTCGAATCGCCAGGTTGAGAAGCGACAATGGTGGTGAGTATAAGTCCTACTAGTGCCTTGGCTGGGAATAAAACGCCATACGAGATGTGGTTCGGGCACTAACCAAGCAAGGCGTGCTGGCACGTTCCTACGGAAAATCGAACGAAGCTCGACGCTAAGAGTCAAGTGTGCTACATGATTGGCTATGCAATCAACGGATGTCGAGTTTGGGATCCTATGCGACGGAAGATAATCATCGTTCGTGACGTTGTCATCGAGGAAACGGATTCAAGGATTCGGAAGGTAGTATACACCAATGACCATTTGGTGTCCGATTGCCTGGAACCGTTGGAAGGGATGTCAACAAGTGATCCAGATGCAGAATCAAGTTCGGATGGTACCGAAAACGAAGCTAGTGGTGTTCACGATTCATCTAGTGAAGAATTCGGAAGTGCAGAAGACAACTTAGTTCCAGTTCGACGAAGCGTTGTAGACAGTCTGATCGGCTTTCTGACTATGATATGTGCGTTGCTTTTGCTATGAATGCAGAAAACTACGTGGAAGTATTGCCGGACAGTATCAATCAGCTTCAGTAGCGAGACGGTTGGCCTGAGAGGAAGCGTGCAATCAACGACGAAACACGTGCGCTTGAAAAAACAACACGTGAGATCTTGTGGACCTTTCTACTGGTGCTTGATCGATTCCCTGCAAGTGGGTGTTCAAGATAAAATATTTAGATAACGGCTCCATCGATAGGTACAAAGCTAGGCTCGTAGTCAAGGGCTGCTCCCAGCGCCAAGGATACGACTATCAGGAAACATATGCTCCTTGGTTCGTATGACAACTGTGAGGAGCCTGCTGGCGGTGGCAGTACAGAAAAGCCTCCATTTGCATCAAATGGATGTGCGCACGGCGCCTGTCAGAAACCGTCTACATATCTCAACCACCAGGATTTGAGAAGGGGGACAAAGTATGCAGGCTGAACAAATCACTGTATGGCCTGAGCGCTTCAACAGCTTTATCCTGAAGATGGGGTTCCAGCGCTCACAATACGACAGCTGCTTTTATGTGAGGAACATGATCGGTGTTGAGATGTGGGGGAGGTAGCTCATCGATTCTTCCGGTTCGCCTCCTAGCATCGTGCTATAAGGTACCAGGCGATAACCAGGGTAGTTGATCGATAGCTCGATGACGTCATTTCGTTGGCGTCTGCAATGGGAAATTCTCATAGCAGGCGTTGACGTTGTCGAGTTGTTGAATAGCAACTATCGTGGTAACTCACCGATTACCTGTCGATCTGCCAAATTTGGAAAGACGTCTGCATTGAATTGTCTCATATAATAATATTCCGCCC